CTCGCTTCTCCCTGCACGCGCCCCCCTTTCCGCAACCCCGCTGAACTCTGGAGGGACGAGCGCCCTGGGGGGTTGGAGTCCTGCGGGCCGCGCGCCTCGGGGACTGGGGCGATCGGTGCCCTCAGAGCAGCAGGAACCCTATGGGGGTTCCCAACCCTGAGGACGCGTGGGTGACAGGTCGCTCTCCCTTGCACTCAGCCATTCTTTTCCCTGTGGAGCGGCTGGGAGGGAGGACAGACAGGCCGTTTGGGATTTTGCTCACGTCCGAAGTCAGGCTGCGGCGGGCTGGGACGGGGGAGGTTGGGCGTCGGAGCGACTGAGGAGAGGAGCGCTGGAGCCCGAAGGGGGCACTTCTGCAAGCTTTTTACCCCCCTCCCGAGCACTTTTTTAAAAGCCAACGGCCGCCCTGGGAGAGGCCCTGGCGCATGAATCATCCTCGCTTCCTGCCCCCGCCCGGCCCCGCGCCCCGCGCGCCGGGTGCCGCGGATTTGAACTGGACGGCGACGGGAAGCCGCAAACAGGCATTTCTTTGCAGATGTGTTTGAATCAGCCAATCACGGCCCGCGGGGGCCAATCCAGGAGGATGGGGGCGGGGGTGGGGGCCGCCACGGAGGCCCCCGCGCGTCAAGGGAGGTGCGGCGAACGGGCTGGCTCCCAAAGGCGCAGCGGGGGAGGAAGTGTCAGTTTGTGAACCTGCTGCATGCGAGCCAGGCGGACTGGGACCTCGCAGCTCCCAGGGAGCCAGGTGGGGGAGAAGACAGGATTTCCTATTGCATCCCCTGTCCAGAGCTGGTGCTCTCTGCCCTGGAGAAGAGAGAGGAACTGGAGGGGGGGGGGACACGTGGCCACCCTTCCCTGGGAAGCCACGACCCTGACAGTGTCCTGCCCACCCAAGGACCCCAAACATATTTAAGTTTCACATATTCATTTACATATGCACTGCTGTGGAATCCTCTTACACAATCTCGCAGGAGTGCACACACACAAACACACAAACCCCCATGCAAACATGGATGGGACCCTCCCGATGGACAGATAGCCATGACAGCAGGGGCCCAGTGCCACGGAGAGGGAGGGGACCAGATTAAGAGGTGCAGGGAACCAAGAGCAAGGCTGTTTGGCTGCAGGGAAAAGCCAGGAGTGTAAGAATGCATGGATCCAGGTGAGCCCAGACTGGGGAGGAGTACAGATGTGGAACAGTAATAAGGCCATAAGGTTCCTGGAAGAGTCTGGAGGAAAGGCAGGAAAGCTGGACTGGCTTGGGCGGTGGTGGTGAAATTCTGCACCAGGCTCAGGAAAACAAGTATTGAAGGGGTGGATGAATGAATAGCCCAAGCAAAAGAGGCCTGAGTCCATACCAGGGCAGGAGGATGGAAAAGGCACAGAGCAGAGGTCACTGTGCTGAAGGTTGGCCAGCTGTGACAGCTCACTCGCTGGAGAAGTCTCAGGTGCCTGGGGCTCCCGGGGACTATGGTAGCAGCCTACACAGGGAAAGAAGGCAAAGGGCAGCAGCGCGTCTAACAGGCATGGGAAGGCTGATGGGTTTGGCGGTGTTGCTTAGAGCAAACGTGCATTTGGGTAACAGGATGAGCAGCTTTAAATGCCCCAGAATTGGTGTCCATGAAATCATTCCATAACTGAAAACACAAAAGGGGATCACAAAAGATACAGATGGCCAAGTTTATACTAATTCACAAGCCACTCAGGAGTTTTCCCTCCTAGGGGTGGATGGTGATTGCGGTCAACCCAGAAAACATGGAGCGCATTTGGCTAAGGGAGAAAACCTCAGCCTCTTGGGACAGAGTTAGGGTTCAGGCATCCCTGATGGGGCCTCTGCTCTGCGTTGGTTCACGTTTATTATTCTCATTAGAAGCAGCAGAGTTTAGGGGTGAGCAATCAGGATTTAGGATCAACTTGGCTGATTATGAACCAGGTCTCTGACTCTGGCCCATCAGCCACTTCTCCTTGCCACACCCATTCCCCCATCTGCAAAATGGGAGTCATAATGTCTCCCTCCCATGGGGTTGTCAGGATTGAGTGAAATAATATACGTGCCTGGCACATAGCATTGGTGATAGAAATGGTAGTATTTTTTCTTCCCCTGATGGACTTTCAGGAGCAGGGAAGCAAGAAGTAAAAAACTCTGTTCTCTTTCTCTTCAAGTGTCAGCGGAAGCTGATGGAGAATCGAGCTCTGGATTCAGGGACTCGGGACTCCTATGGTGCCACCAGCCACCTCCCCAACAAGGGGGCCTTGGCTAAGGCCAAGAACAACTTCAGAGACCTGATGTCCAAGCTGACAGAGGGCCAGTATGTGCTGTGCCGGTGGACAGATGGACTGTATTACCTTGGGAAGATCAAGAGGGTAAGGCTTTTCTTTCTGGCTCCTCTTCCCAGGCTCAGCATCTCTCTGTTCATCCCATCTGGTCTTCAGACTAGTGAAGGGAGATTCCCCAAGAGTTCCCCTAATGTCCCTCATTCCCAGAAGCTGATGGTAGAAGGAGCCAGAACCTGGTTTTTCCAGCACCGTCCCTAGGACCAACATCATCCGGCCAGCTCTTTAGAAGGGTGCTCTGAGAACCCACAAAGCAAACAGAACCAGGCTGGAGAGGAGCATAGGCAACCATGTGGCCTGTTAGTCTGCCTCTGACTCTGCCAAGTTGTCCTCCAGCCCCTGGCTGTCAGCTCCAGGGCTAGGAGCACAGAGCTGCTAACTTCTTCCTCTTCTAGCTTCGCCCTGCTTTCTGAAGCACAAGGAAACAAAAACGGAGGGAGAACATGCTCTACTTGGGCTCTTCCCCAGCTACTCTCTCACGTTGTTCCTCTCTGTGCTCCAGGTGAGCAGTTCTAAGCAAAGCTGCCTTGTGACTTTTGAAGATAATTCAAAATACTGGGTCCTGTGGAAGGACATACAACATGGTGAGTATTCCTGACATTTAGGATACTCCTGCCCTCCCCTGTCCTCTCTCTGCCACTACCTTCAGTGTTTCCCTCTCTCCTTCTGTCTCTTATTCTTGACATCTGTCCTCTGTCCTGGTCCAGGAACCTCATACTGCCGCCCCCACCCCCAGAGATGACAATCAGATTACCAGACGTGTGACACCTGTCCTCACCTTCAGTGCTCAGGCTTCATGAGAGAGGCAGGGCAGATGGGAAAATGTTTGGGGAACTGTGGAGAGCCCTGGGACTGGGTCTTAGGCCTGTTTCTTTGCTGGTCTCTGTCTCCTGATGCTCAAAGTTCTGGGTCTGCAGGGAATGAGAATGAGGAGGACCCCCAGCAATCAGAATGTCACCTCAGCAAGTGGAGAAAGCTAGTGAGCAGCTTTGTCCCCAGGGTAAGGAGTTGGGGATGGAGGAAGACTAAGAAAACAGATGGCTCAGTCAAGCAGCATGAAGATGGACATTCCTGGTAGGGCTGGACCTGCTTTCAGGATGGAAAGGGAGCAAATCTAGGGCTTGGTTGCTGCCGTTCTCTCTCCCAAGCACCTGACAGATGTCAGTAGTCAGCCATGACTCTTTTTTGGGGGGATACCAGGGATTGAATTTAGGCCCTGTGCTTGCGAGGCAGGCATGGCACCACTGAGCTAAATCCCCAGCCCAATGACTCTCATTTTTTAACATAGAGTTCCAAGCAACCACTACCAGTCGGAGTTGGCAAGAGAGAAGAAAACTGTTTGCCATTTATCCTTAACAGGAGAACGAATGCAGCCCTTTGGGAGGAAGAGCAGGTTTTAGGGTCAGACCTTGGGTCAAGTTCTAGCTTTGCCCATTACTAGCTGCACAGCCTTGGGCAAGTAATGTCACCTGAGTTTCAGTTTCTTCCTCTGAAAGGAGGTAATGAAAACTCCTGGCATCAGAGTGATTAAAGAGATTAAATCAAATAATCCATGTAAAATGCATATCCCAGTGCTCCTGAGTTACAGCGAAGCAGTTTTTAAAGAACATTACAGTACGAGGCCAGGGATTTGGCTTAGTGGTTCCGCTGCCTGCCTCACAAGCACAAGGACCCAAGTTTGATCCCTAGTACCAAAAAAAAAAAAAACCAAAAACAAAAAAACAAAGGAACATGTTACAGTAAAAGGGGATTCTAAGAAATCTGCCAGCTGGAGACCTCAGATCCCAGCTAGTTGGTGGATCTTTCAAATAGTGCCACCTCGAAGAACTTGTGGCCAGGGAATACTTATTCCTTCTCCCAAATCCACAAGGGTCTCCTGTCCTAGTTACCCTCTTCCTGAAAGCTCAAACACCCAGATGGCAAAGAAATATAGTTCACCTTAGCAGGGCTTGTATAGGAAGCCCACTGCATGCCAGGCACTGTGGAGATACCATAGCTACTGTTCAGTCCCTGGCTGGATGCCTGCTCCTCCTGGGCACCATGGTGGCCCTCTCGTAAGATAAGAGCACAGGTTGGGGACTCTGGGGTTATGATTCATCGCTTCAGTAAGCCAATGAGACCAACAGTGGCACCACTATCTTGGAACACATTCAAGAATAGGAGGCAAGGTCCTTGCTTGGCAAGTTGTTCAACAAATAGGTCTTGAACACCTATTACAGGCCATATTCCAAATGAAGTCCAAGGGATACAGAATAATATGACATCGTTTCTGCCTTTACAAAACATTCAGCCTGCATGTTAAATAAGACAGAAGCACACATTGAAATGTATTCACACAACTCTTACAGACATAAAAGCATTTATTTTTCAATAAAAAAATGAAAGTGATAGGGAATCAGTAGATGAAAAGCAATCCTAAAAGCATATCAACTGGTCACCACATGTGGACTTTATTTAGATCTTGATTCAAAATAACAAAAATCATGATTTTTTTTTTTGAGAGACAGAAATGTGAGCACTGACTGAATTTATTGATATTTAGATGCAATAAAGGCTCTCTTGTTTTAAAGAGTCCTGACCTTTTAAAGATACAACCTAAATGTTTATGGAAAAATGATTGTAATCAAAATGGGTTGGATTGTAGTCAAAACAAGATTGACTGGGAGTAATAATTGTTGATGAAAACAGTGATTATCATTATAACATTATCCCATAATAAATGTTATCTAACATAAAAATGTTTAACAAAATGAAGTATGCAGGAGGAGATACATGATGTGATCAAAAGAACAAAGGATTTGAAGTCAAACAGCCGTAGGTTTAAATCCCACCTCTCCTACTTACTAGCTAAGCAAGGGACTTATCCTCCTCGAACCTCAGTTTCCCCATCTTTAGAATGGGATAATTATAGCAGGCCCCTTAGAAGGGCTGGGCAGACTCAGTGAGGTGGCCTGTGAGGTCCAGTGTGGAGTGGAGCCTTAGCCCTTGAGCTAATTTTAACTCTTCTAATTCCTGTGAGCTGGACCTGACCCAAAAGGACCTCTTTTTCAGCTGGCGTTCCAGGGGAGGAGCCCAAGTGTAACATCTGCCTGGGGAAAACATCAGGGCCGCTGAATGAGATCCTCATTTGTGGGAAGTGTGGCCTGGGTGAGTGGCTGAGCAGAGCACTGAGAAGGCCCTGACCTGTGGGTCCCTGCTGCACTGGCCTCCGATGGGCACCACTCCACACTGCTGCGGCGTCAACTGCCTTCCTGTTTCTCCCTGAGCACCAGGGTGAAAGGGAGCCAGTCTGTGAATGAGGACCCAGGGAGATGACCTTGGGGAAAGCTGAGAAAGTACAACGGGGTGCACAGTTTAGGGCCCTCCCAGGTAGACAGGATGGGTGGAAAGGAAGGGGTGCAGGTGCTGAAGCCAGACCTTGGTGCTCTGCTCACTGGCCAATGCTGTCTTAATCCCCATCCTGGATACCTGCTTGGCTGAATGGGCATCACCAGCCAGTCCCCTGGCAGCTGCAGGGCAGAGCTCCTCCTAGGACTTCCACAGCCCTCCCAGCCTTGCTGCTTTTGGGCCATCTGGCCTTTGGCCACTGCTTCCTCTCGGGCACTCACACCCGCTCCTCTGCCGTAGGTTACCACCAGCAGTGCCACATCCCCACAGCAGGCAGTGCCGACCGGCCCCTGCTCACACCCTGGTTCTGCCGACGCTGCATCTTCGCACTGGCTGTGCGGGTGAGCCCTCCTTCCTTTCCTGTATCTTCCGTGGGGAGCCCAGAAGGCCTTCTAGGCTCCGGCCTGACTGCTGATCACAAACGATAAGCTCCAAGCACAAGAGCCCTACTGGGGCTTCGCAGACAGATGGCGCCCTTCCTCTGACCACTGTTATGTCCTTGGTTAGGTTCCAGAGCCTCTCTGAGCCTGTTTCCTCAACTGTAAAGTGGACGTGGATATGGAATCAGGAGTAGGAGGACCCAGTTAATGGTGCTTTGCCCGTAAATACCACACTCCATGTACATTGGTGATTGTTCCCTTCCATGCTTATTACTGTTAAAACATCATTAATGGAGATCTTTCCGGGATAGAGGTTGAACTTGGAATTGATGAGAAAAAGTGCCTTTTGTTCCTGATTACCTTGGAATATCTGTACATCCTCCAAGCCCTGGGCAGCATTTTCCTTAGTAGCCATGCGGTGACTTGTGTGGCCCAACTGGGGCCAGCAGGTGACTCGGGCCCTCGTCTCCCCGCAGAAAGGTGGCGCGCTGAAGAAGGGAGCCATTGCCAGGACTCTGCAGGCTGTGAAGATGGTGTTGTCCTACCAGCCTGAGGAGCTTGACTGGGATTCGCCTCACCGCACCAACCAGCAGCAATGCTACTGCTATTGCGGGGGACCTGGAGAGTAAGGCTGAGGGGCGGGCGTGGTGTCATAGCCTCGGTGGGCCCAGCGGGTAGGCTAGCAGGAGAAGGGTCCCCAGAGAGGTGGAGCAGGTTGGAGAGCCGGGAGAGTCGCCAAGAGACCTTGAAGAGTGGGGCCTGAAGGTAAAGCTTTGTGGGACGGCAGGGAAGAAGACCCAAGGTGAGAACCTGAAGATTGTGGTCCGAGGACCTGGCTCCTTGTGGCATCGAAGCACTTGCCCTGCAGCGGGGACCCGGAGTGGGTAGAGGGGAGAGAGCAGAGGTATTTTCTTGGAGCCCCATGGAAAAGAAAGGGAGGAGTATTGAAGAGTAGCGAAGTGCCTAGGCCTCACACTCGGGCCAAATCCATCCAAGATGTCCAGAATCCTGGCTCATTGCAACCCCCCGGCTTCAATCCTCTTACTGTTTTTACCTCATGTGTTGGTTGTGAGCTGATAATTCATATAACGGCTCACAGAGTGCCTGGTCCTTGGTAATCACTTAAAAAACATGAGCTGCTGCTGGTGATGCTCTTGCTGCATGGCAGTTACAATTGCCTTTTCACAGGCAGAGCCAACAGAACTGGGGAGACCCTTTTCCCTAGAGAAGTGCAAGCAGGGGCCCTATCCTGGGAATCCTCGGGAGGGAATTCTTGCCCTGCTGTGGGGCCAGAGCATGACTGATCTTCCCAATCGACCTGGGCCTCCATGAAGCCACCAACAGTTGAGCTTGTTTGTTCTGGCTTACTGTGCCAGGCATTGCGAAAGCAACTGCAGACGTAAGAGGTACTGTCTTTGCCTTCAGGAAACGGCCTGCAGGACCCCCTAAGTCCAGAATCTCAGACTACAGTCCTTATGACAGGAACTAAAGGTCTGAAGGCTATGCTTACAACTCATCTGGGTAACTCAGAAAAAGCACTTAAACTGTTGCATCTCTTAAGTGGGCTTTTAGTTACCTTAATTGCCCATGAACTTCCCAGAGTGTTGGAAGGCCTAATGGATAACAGATGGACGATGCTTACAGAAACCTTTACTGCACTGAGGCAGTGCTTCTCACTGTTTAATGGGTTTTACAAAGGCATCTCCTAGAGGCTACCCCACAAATTGAACTGTTGTGAAGTGGACCAAGGAATCTGCATGTTAACCTGTACCACACCCTGCAAAGAGTAAAAAGGCATTAACTTTTGTTAATGGAAGACGTTTTTGCTCTTTGTTCATAATCAATGACTAATTGTTGAATGGCCATTTAAGGACAGATACAGTAACAGGAGAGTAAAACCAGACATAGGCCTGCCCCCAGGTGGCTTACAGGAAGCCATCATGCTTCCATGAAGTATCTCTGGCAAACCTGTCCTTGTCAGTAATGTTTGGGAAGCAGTATTGGGGGCACCGCCCAAAGAGGGGGCTCCAATGTGCCATGGCAGGAAGAACATGGGCATTGAAGTTGGGGAGACTGGGGTTTGAATCGCCATCCTCCACTTGCTGAGTGACCTTGAGCTAGCCATTTTAACCCCTGACTCATCTGTACTATGGGGACAGTGGTTCACCTTTTTGGTTTCATCCAATGAGGTGGCATGTGTCTAGCTCCCTGGACATGCCCTGGACTAGCCTAAGCATTCGACAACAGGCAGTTCTCTTCCCTCTCTTCTGGTGGAGGGTGCATCTTTGTTTATGAGCCTCATGCCTAGCTGACTGCTTCTTCTGCCTCTCCAGATGGTACCTGCGGATGCTGCAATGTTACCGGTGTAGGCAGTGGTTCCATGAGGCCTGCACACAGTGCCTCAATGAGCCTATGATGTTTGGAGACCGGTAAGTGCTAACTGGGTCCAGCTGGGCCTCGAGGGTCAGGTGACAATGGGACAGGAGGGATGGCAGAAGCAAACAGCTGCAGATTGCCTGCCAGGCTCCACACAAGGTGGGGGGCAGTTATGTTAACCCATAGCTGTGTACAGGAAGCAGCTCAGGGTAAATAAGGCCCCAGCTCTGCAATACAGTGTGCTAGACTGCGTCCCTAATTGCCATTGGTTTGTGGGGTACCTTAGGCAAATGCCACCCTTCCCAAGTCCATCTCTTCAGTGGTCGGGAAGAAGGAGTGACTGACACAGTCCCTGCCCCAGCTCTGCCCAGAATTGTAGGAGCCACTGGGGAAATGGATGATTTCTAACCAATGGGACTATGCTAATGGGAGACGTTATACACGTCAAACCAGTTACTACATGTTTTTGGTTGTTGTCTTGTGTTGTAATTGTGTGTGTCGAAGAGGGTGACCACTGCAGCTGACCTAGCTCAGCTCGCTCTCTGTGAACTCAGCTGCACTCCAGGGCAGTATTTGGGGGAAGGGGGTTAGAAGTAAGGGCATATTCTTTGGTCCCTGTGCTGCCCTGTCCTTATCCACCCCCAGCCCCAGAGGCCACCAGAATGAGAATGCTGACTGTGGGAATGCGGGTGAGGGGTGAGGGGCTGGCCTAGGGTAGGGTTCCGAGCACCTCCCACTACAGGCCCCTTTCTGCCTCCCACAGGTTCTACCTGTTCTTTTGCTCCGTGTGTAACCAGGGCCCAGAGTACATCGAGAGGCTCCCCCTGCGATGGTGAGAGGGTGGGGCTTGGTTCAAACCCGCCTCTGTCCTTTCCCATTTTCCCAGTCCTCCTCTCTCCAGTTTGCCCTGTTGCTCACCCGGCCCATCTTCCTTGCCCTCTGGCCTAGGGTGGATGTGGTTCACCTGGCCCTCTATAACCTGGGAGTGCAGAGCAAGAAGAAGTACTTTGACTTTGAGGAGATTCTGGCCTTTGTCAATCACCACTGGGAGCTCCTACAGCTTGGCAAGGTATGCAGGGTGGCAGATGTGAGTGGCAGGAGCCAGGGAAGTCTGTGCAGGCCCTCACAGTGCAGGGATAGGGTCTAGGTGTCTCCCTTGAGCTGCTGCACCCTTCGTTCAAGCCTCTGACCCAAATGTTGACCGTGGGCAGTTGTAGCCTCACCAACTCAGCCCCTGGGATCTAGGCCATTGGTCAAATCTGGGCAAAGCAGGGGTTTTTTTTATTGTGGCGTCTGAACCTCTTCAGATTCCCTGTCTAGGATGGAGTGTGGAGTGGGCCTGCCCCCTGCTGATCCTGTTCTGAACAGTGTTCTCCAGAGGCCAGGGCACCTCAGATCCAGCAGTGAGGTAACAGAGACTCTGAGGATGTCAGCTGGAGAGCAAGTTGCTGGTAGTCAGCTCTTGGGCTGGGGCCAGGCTAGAGCTGGAGCCAGGACCTTTCTAACCACTTCCACCATGGGATGCGTCCCTTGAGCCCCACTGCCACCTTCAGAATCAACTTTGCTGCATACAGAGCCAGGCATCTCCACTGTCCCAAACTTTCTTTGATGAGACAGGAATAAAGAAAAAAGTAACCTTTATGCTTGGCAGAAATTTTACATAACATCTTCATTTACCTATTATAAAGCCTTTAAATTGACAGTATTTTTTAAATAACTTTTTTTCTGATTTATAAAAAATTCATACATGTTCCTATTAAAAAAAATTTAAATTGGCAAAAAGCATTAGGAAATGGACCTAAAATCCATATTCTTGTGCCACACTACCTAGAGATAACTAGAAATATTGTATAGGTACCTTTCCTTCCATGCATATTTTTTGTTTATATGATACAGCAGTATAATTTTGAGTCATTTTTTTCAACTGACATTACATATTTTCCTATATTAAAGAACCTTTGTAAACATTTTAATGGCTATATCAATTTCCACCAGTTTACTGGTTTCCTTACTATTGAGTATAGTTCCTTTCCCCCTCTATTTGTCCAGCACAGTAAACAATTCTGTAAAGTTTTTGTTACCAAAGTTTTGTGTTGTGTCCCACATTACTGTGTATCTTTGTTGCTGTTGTTGCTGTAGAAGAGATCAAACCCAGGCGCACTCCACCACTGAGCTACACTGCCAGCTCTCACTTTTTACTTTGAGACAAAGTCTCACTAAGTTGCCCAAGTGGGACTTAACTTTCAGTCCTGCCTTAGCCTCCCCAAATGCATAGACCTCGTGGAGAACCATTCCTGGTTGAAAGTTATGAATGTTGTTAAAGCTCTTGAAAAATTTAGGCCGAGAATTTACCTCGCCATTTACACATTGGGAAATGGGTTCAGAGAAGTAAAAAGATTTGTCTGAGATCACGAAATAGGTCAGTGGTCCTCACCTGGAGGACTCAGGAACTTCAGGAGGGGCAGGCGAAGGGAAGTGTGGGGCCTCTTCAGATTCCACAGGCAGTGTCTGACTGGCCTGCTGGCCTGTTCTCCCTTAGCTCACCAGCACCCCTGTGACAGATCGAGGACCACATCTCCTCAACGCTCTCAACAGCTACAAAAGCCGGTGCGTGCAGGGATGGAGAGGATGCCTCACCCTCTGACAGGAGGACCTGCAGTCTTTTCCTACTCACAGCCTTCACCCAAGCTTTGCTCCCTGCCTGTCTTCCTTGCCTTCTCTTTGACTGAATCCTTCCTTCCCTTTCTCTAGGGTCTGGGGAGCAAAGAGAATCAGAGTTCTTCCTTTGCCAAGCACCCCAGCATCCTGATTCATCTGGGTACTGAGCTCAGGTCCATATGGGAGCTCTGAGTCCTGCACTGAGAATCCCTCCTGCTCAAGCCACCTAGGTCCTGGGTCAGGCACTGAGCGGTCAAATCACCATCTCTCGGGTGGGCCGCAACCTCCTAACCCATCCCCCAGCCCATGTCTTCCCCTTCAGAGCTTTCAGAACCCACAGCCCTCCCCACAAGCACCACAGGAAATGCCTTGGCTATTCAAGGTGTAGTCAAGGAATATTTGGGTATTCAAGGTCTTTTTATGAGCAGGCACTGCCTATGTCTTTATCATTGTCCCTTTTGCTTGTGTGCCAGCCTCTATGCCCTTGGCTCCTCACCCAGTGCCTTGGCTGGCGCTCTTCCCTCTGCCTGTGATGTTCTTCTATCCCATTTAACCATCTGTTCCATCAAGGATAACTCACTGAGCTGCTGCTCTGTGTCGACCCTGTACAGGTCTGAGCCACGATGGGGAGTAAGACACACTTCTGTGAAAGTGTCCCAAACACCTTTAGTGAAATGACCTGCTTCTACTTCTCCTGGTTGGGGGCCCTGCACAGCCCACTCCTCAGTATGTAGCCCCTGGCCTCGCAGTGGACAGGCCCCTGAGGGCAGACCTGGGTCTGAGCCATGTCTACAGCCTCAAGGCTGCTCAGCTAGTGTTGAAAGGAAGAGGAAGTACCTGGCGATGCCTCTCTGGTTTTGAAGGAGATCAGAGAACAGAATGAGATGGAATGTGGCTGGACACCAGGAGTTCCACTGTGAGCTGAGGAAGCCCTTCCTGTAGGAGGCAGCCTTGGCGCTGGTTGAGGCAAAAGGGATGAGAGGAGCAGCAGGAACCACACACTTGGAGGAGTCAATCAGCCACATTCTTGGCTGAGACTCCCTCATTCGGGCTTGAAGGAATCAGTGTCCCCTAAGGCCACTCTGATTAGCTCAGGGTTCAAGGGAGCCAAGAGGCTTGTCTAACACTTGCACCCAAGCTCCCCACAAGGATAGACTGACTGACCTCAGGGCCTTCCCTCCTCGTCTACCCCCAGGTTCCTCTGTGGCAAGGAGATCAAGAAGAAAAAGTGCATTTTCCGCCTGCGCATCCGCGTCCCACCCAACCCTCCGGGGAAGCTGCTACCTGACAAAGGCCTGGTACCAAGTGAGAACAGTGCCTCCTCTGAGCTGCGTAAGAGAGGAAAGAGCAAGCCTGGGTCAGTGCTTGGGGACCTTGGGCCAGGGCTGCAGCCAGACTCGGGTTCTCTGCTCCCAGCTCCCACACCCAGCAGATGGGCCACGAAGTGGGCCCCATGCGGTCTGGCGGCATCCAGCTAGTCCCAAGCTGCAGGCACCCTGAGAGGGCAAGTTAGTGGCCCCCAGACTCCTCCACCACCGCCCCTATACCTCACTCAGGGGAAGCCAGATCAGTGACCTAGCCTGCTGCACTAGGACCGGGCAGAGAAGGGGACATCTGAGTGAGCCGAAGCACCCTCAGCCTCCTGGCTGAGCTTCCTGGGTGTCGGGACACACACAACTGAGGAGTACCTTTTCTTTTTCCACTCAACAGCAGCCCCGCTAGGACTTCCTGTGCCTCCCTCCCCAGGCTGCCTGGGGAGGTGCTGCCCAGTGCCATCCTTCTGAGCCCATCCCCACTCCCACCGCTGGTGCGGCTCCTCCCGCTGGGCCACCCTCTGGCCCTCAGGCTCTGACTGGGCCATCCTCTCCCTTTTCTGTCTCCACAGTTTGTTGCCTCACGAATTCCAGCAGCAGAAAAGGCGAGTTTATAGAAGAAAAAGGTCAAAGTTTTTGCTGGAAGATGCTATTCCCAGTGTTAGTTTCTTGTTTTCTTACTCTCCACTCTACACGCAGGGTCAGCACACATTAGGGATTCCTTCACAGACAGCAAAGTCCCCAAGGCCCAGGGGACTGTCTCGGTTCCTATCACAGTGACACACAGAAAAGCCGAGCACGCCTGAGACCACTCCCTCATCTCTCTAAGATCTCCTGAGAACCCAGACAGGGCCATGTAATATCCTAGGGCTGGGGATTAGCTCAGTGGCACCACACCTGCCTTGCAAAGGCAAGATCCTGAGTTCAATCCCTAGTACCAGGAAAAAAAAAAAAATCCTTGGCCCTGCTGAGCAGGTGGGGAAACTGAGGGAAGGGTGGGGCAGTGACTTTCCTGCAGTCACACATCAAGGCAGAAGCCAAGCCCAGCCTAGAACCAGAACCTCAGGGCACGTCTTCCGAATTCTTAATGAAGCCCCCCCTGTGAACAGTAATATTAACCATGCTCCTCTCCCTCACACTTTACAGTTTACAAGGCACTTTTATGATCAGTATTTAACTCCATTGTGCTTCCTGACACCTCTAAGTGTGAAGCAGGGAAGGGGTTATTGTCCCCATTTTGCAGTTGGGGTAGCTGAGGCCCAGAGAGATCAAAGTGGGCTGGGGACAGTGCCAGGACTAGAACTGGCTGACTTGGCTCTTTGGTCAGGACATGGAATAAAGAGGAGTGGACAGGTCTTAACCTCAGGAGCCCTGGCAGGACAGTGGACAGCTTGTGTGGCCCTCAGCCGGGGAGAGGGTATGTGGGGGAGGCAGATTTGACACGGGCTGACACATCCTTCTCTTTCCTGTGTCCACAGAGTGACTTTACTTCGGCCTGGAGCACCAACCACCATCTGGCCAGCATATTCGACTTCACGCTGGACGAAATTCAGAGTTTAAAAAGGTAGCGGTGAGGGGCCCAACAGAAAAGGCTGCTCTGGAGACTGGGAAGGAACTGACAGGGTGGCTCACTCCACCCCCCAGCAGTGGGCACTCTGAAAGTGGGGCCTCCTTTGGGGTTCTTCTGGAACCCCCAGTTATAGGCTCTTTTAACACTAGAGCGTTCCTGCTTCCCAGAGCAGCTGTCACTTCAGGCACTCTCTGCCTCACACAGCAGACTGAAATCCCTGTGGTTACTCCACCCTCCTGATGCAGTTTGATTCCTCTCATCTTTGCTCATGTTGCTCTCTGTCTAAAATGCTCTGTGCCCTGCTGTACCCCATTCAGAAACTCAGGAGCCTGCTTCCTCCAGGTGGCCTCTGCTGCCCTCCTAGCTGTACCGGACCCTTCCTGTGTCTGCCCGCAGCACCTCAGAGGAGGAACTGTTCCTTTTATCATCTTGTTTCCAATGTCACTGAAGCTCATTCAGTGCTTTCTGGAGACTATGGAATAAGGAGAGGCTTAGATTTAGACAGATCTGAATTCTCCAGACCCTGCCTACCAGTGTTATGTGACTTTAGTTAAATTCCCCAGCTCCTCTGAGCCTCCTCATGTTTTCTCCAAATAAGATACTAAAACGGAAACTCTTGATCTGTAAAGTGTCACTTGGGTGTCTTAGGGCTCGTTTAAGTATTGTCACCAGTGCCTCCATCACCACTAGGGGACAGTGGGCAGGGAAGGCTTTCTCAGCTCGTAGTGAGCAGGTGGGGAAACTGAGGGAAGGGTGGGGCAGTGACTTTCCTGCAGTCACACATCAAGGCAGAAGCCAAGCCCAGCCTAGAACCAGAACCTCAGGGCACGTCTTCCGAATTCTTAATGAAGCCCCCCCTGTGAACAGTAATATTAACCATGCTCCTCTCCCTCACACTTTACAGTTTACAAGGCACTTTTATGATCAGTATTTAACTCCATTGTGCTTCCTGACACCTCTAAGTGTGAAGCAGGGAAGGGGTTATTGTCCCCATTTTGCAGTTGGGGTAGCTGAGGCCCAGAGAGATCAAAGTGGGCTGGGGACAGTGCCAGGACTAGAACTGGCTGACTTGGCTCTTTGGTCAGGACATGGAATAAAGAGGAGTGGACAGGTCTTAACCTCAGGAGCCCTGGCAGGACAGTGGACAGCTTGTGTGGCCCTCAGCCGGGGAGAGGGTATGTGGGGGAGGCAGATTTGACACGGGCTGACACATCCTTCTCTTTCCTGTGTCCACAGAGTGACTTTACTTCGGCCTGGAGCACCAACCACCATCTGGCCAGCATATTCGACTTCACGCTGGACGAAATTCAGAGTTTAAAAAGGTAGCGGTGAGGGGCCCAACAGAAAAGGCTGCTCTGGAGACTGGGAAGGAACTGACAGGGCGGCTCACTCCACCCCCCAGCAGTGGGCACTCTGAAAGTGGGGCCTCCTTTGGGGTTCTTCTGGAACCCCCAGTTATAGGCTCTTTTAACACTAGAGCGTTCCTGCTTCCCAGAGCAGCTGTCACTTCAGGCACTCTCTGCCTCACACAGCAGACTGAAATCCCTGTGGTTACTCCACCCTCCTGATGCAGTTTGATTCCTCTCATCTTTGCTCATGTTGCTCTCTGTCTAAAATGCTCTGTGCCCTGCTGTACCCCATTCAGAAACTCAGGAGCCTGCTTCCTCCAGGTGGCCTCTGCTGCCCTCCTAGCTGTACCGGACCCTTCCTGTGTCTGCCCGCAGCACCTCAGAGGAGGAACTGTTCCTTTTATCATCTTGTTTCCAATGTCACTGAAGCTCATTCAGTGCTTTCTGGAGACTATGGAATAAGGAGAGGCTTAGATTTAGACAGATCTGAATTCTCCAGACCCTGCCTACCAGTGTTATGTGACTTTAGTTAAATTCCCCAGCTCCTCTGAGCCTCCTCATGTTTTCTCCAAATAAGATACTAAAACGGAAACTCTTGATCTGTAAAGTGTCACTTGGGTGTCTTAGGGCTCGTTTAAGTATTGTCACCAGTGCCTCCATCACCACTAGGGGACAGTGGGCAGGGAAGGCTTTCTCAGCTCGTAGACTTCCAAAGCTGGACGAGTAGAACAGGTAAGTGTGATGGTGGGAAGCTCAGCTGGTGGCCTCTGCTGGGATGAAGGATACATATTAGAGGGACAGAAAGAGGCCTGATGTCCTAAGGAGCCCCAAGAGCCAAACTGGCAGGACCTTGCTGGGCCTGGCTAATGTCAGGTTCATGTTTTCTCCCCTCTCAGTGCCAGCTCAGGCCAGACCTTCTTCTCAGATGTGGACTCCACCGATGCCGCCAGTACCTCCGGCTCCGCCTCCACCAGCCTCTCCTATGACTCCAGGTGAGCTCCTGGGGTCTATCCTTCAGGTTCTGCAAGTACTGCTGCCCCCGCCCCCCATACTGCTGCAACCTGTGAGGCTCATTCTGTGCATGAGACTCGGCTGGTGGACCTCACCCTCTGCCATTGTGAGAACCTGGCCCTGGGCTGCTCTGATTCCAATGACCAGGGCTTAGGATAGGTGGAGGCTTAGGATAGGCGTTCAGGCTCCATCCCTTTGGAATGCTCTTTGTGAGCTGCAGAATGTGCAGAGACTCCTCTGGCTGATTTCAATTCTGGAGTGTTTTGGCCTAAGACTGTTTCATTCTAGGGTTCTTGGCCTTTGCATGCCATGGTTTGCAAGTCTGTGCCTCTCAGCCTGCAGGGTCCCCTGCCCCTGGTCCTTGGCTGTCTGAATCTGGTATCTGTGTTTCCTTCATATCTGTCTAAGGGAAAGAGCCATTTATTTGGGTGGAGGTGAGGATGGCTTCTCGTAAAGTTCAGTCTGGGAAGGAGGACAGAAATCCCAGATACAGTCTCTGGCAACAGCTAATTGTAACACCATCAGGAGGGTGGTGCTGCAAAGCACAAGGATTTCTTCTGCACTCAGGTGTGTCTAACTGTATTTTAGGATACGTAACGCCACTGCAAAAGTGGAATTAAAAGTGTAATGCATTTAAGGGTATACAAGGGCATTGCAAAAGTAGAACTAAAAGTGTAATGCCAATAGAGGCATGTCTGGAAGTATCTCTTCGCCTCCAAACACCTCAGTCTAGGTGTCTTTTTCTATTTTCTCCATAATTCTGTCGTTTTTCAGTGTTGGCGATTGAACACAGGGCTTCGTGCATGCTACGCAAGCAATCTACCACTGAGCTATACCCCTAGCCCTGTATTTTAATGTCTTTCTTCCTGTTTCTTTGGTTCTCACTAATGCTTCAGGTCTTGACTTCTAAGTATTTGTGAATGTGTACTTTGCCTCGTGTGCCCATTTCTTTAATACCTCTGCCTGTATGACACGAGAGTCTTTACTTCATAAGCCCTACCTCTATCCCTACTTGTATACACCAACTAGCTCCAAAGAAGTCCAGGTGAGGGACAGGGCAGCCTAATAGGGCCTCTCTACTGTACTGTGTCAAGAGGCACAGAAAATGGCAGGAACTTACCCACACTTGTACAGTCCTGGACCCCAGATACAAAGAGCACACACTTTAGAGTCAGACTACCTAGGGGCCGGGGATTTAGCTCAGTGGTTCCACCACCTGCCTTGCAAGCACAGGGACCCAGGTTTGATCCCTGGTATCAAAAAAACAAAAGCTTTCTAGAGTCAGACTACCTAGGTTGACTTCTGGCTCTGCCACTCCCCAGCTGTTCACTTCTCTGCAGCCTCAATTCACCCCCTCCCTTACAGGATTATCATGAGGATGCAGTGAGATAAATCCATGCCCAGGATCTGACACTGTTCCTGGAACCTAGAAGATTGCTCAGGGCAGGAAACCATTAGTTGTTCCATCTCATTCCCATCGTCTTGCTCTTCCCCTGCCTGATATAGACGGACAGTTGGCAGCCGCAAGAGGAAGCTGGCAGCCAAAGCGTACATGCCCCTGCGGGCCAAGCGGCGGGCGGCTGAGCTGGGTGGACGCTGCCCTTCGGACAGCAGTGCCGAGGGGGCTTCTGGCCCCGAGCGGCCCGATGAAGGCATCGACAGCCATACATTTGAGAGCATCAGTGAGGACGACTCGTCTCTGTCCCACCTCAAGTCCTCAATCACCAACTACTTTGGCGCGGCTGGGAGGTTGGCCTGTGGGGAGAAGTACCAGGTGTTGGCACGGAGGGTCACGCCAGAGGGCAAGGTTCAGTACCTAGTGGAATGGGAAGGGACCACCCCTTACTGAGCGCCCCTTGGGTGGATGCCAGGAGCCCTGAAAACCAAAGGAGGGACAGCAGAAGCCATAGGATCTCATATTCCCCAGGCAGGGGCTGGGGAGGGAGGCAGGACCGAGATGCAAGTGCCTGGCCAAAGGCCCCCCTGCCTGCTCACCAGGCCAAGGCCAAAGCCTGCACTGCTGCTGTGCCATTGTTCTCGGGCTTACCTGGGCCCATCAGCCCTGTGCCTGGGTCTGAGGTCTTGCTGGCTCTCTTTCAGTGTCTCTACACACTCCACACCCCTCAAACTCTTCACTAGTTCCTCCGAATTTGCGTCCCCTTGGCTCTGTAACCCTTTCTCCTTAGGCCCGATCTTTTTTGTCCCTGAGGCTCCATCCCTGCACTTCTCACCCCTTTTGGGTGTGTTTACACATCCTCCACATGCACATCTGTCCCTCCACTAGAGTCCTTCGCACCTGACCCCTGGACAGCAGTCCTCCCTGGAACCCAAGGGAGAATGTCTGAAAGTGGAGCTTCTCTCCCTCCCTTTCTGCCACTTCCTCTTGGAAGGGTTGGGGGACATCTCTGGGAAAACCCATGTGGCGGAGACACTGGGACCCAGGACCTGGGGAGTAAAGAGCTGGGTGTCTGCTGCAGAAGACATCAGCATCAGGCCCCATCTCAAGGGAAAGCAAAAGTGGGGGGAGGGGTGGGGCCATTGTTTTTGCTGCTTCCGGAGATATTAGAAACTGACTCACTTGATTGGAAAATGGAAAGAAGTGCCTTGATTAGGGCTGGAGGACAGGGGCACCAGACTGGTACTAGCCTTGCCAACTGCTGCTGTGGCCTCCAGCTTGGCTGGTTTTTGCAGATCACCAGCTGGAAGGCGAAAGGAGGTAGAAGAGAAGCAGCAGCAGGACAGCAGGCCTGAGAAGCTTGTTTTTCCATTACCAGAACCACCCTGCTGCCTGCCTGTGAGCAGTCGGGGGTCTCTGACATAGATTAGACAGCCTCTGCCTTAAACCTGAACTCCTACAGTGCCTTTCAAAGGGATCTTGCCTCTCGAGCACAGCCTGCTTACTTTCCTCTGCTTCCTCGGCACAGCCCAGGCAGGGACAAGTAGGCGCTGGACCCAGATCTCAGCCCCACAGCTGCTGTCCCTGAGCCCCCCCAACTGGGGCCAGGTGGAAGAGGAGCTGGGATCCAATCTGTGGCTTCCTGCTGGCCTCAGAGCACAGCAAGCTCACAGGCCTGCTTTCAGACTCCTGAGAAAGCCAGATGTGTGGGGCCTGTTTCAGCACCTTCCCTACTTGGGCTCCAGGGAGACTCTGGCCCTGAAGGGGGCCCACTTGGGAAGACAGCACAAGGCCTAACAAGGTCACCTGACCCCTACCCCAGTGTTTCCTTCATACCAGATAATAGCTGCATTACTGCCAACTGACCTTATAACCCTGTGCACCTTCTAAAAGATCATGGTTTTGAATTGCTGCTTTTAATAACATTTGTTATATTAAAGTTATAATTGATGTGTCTGGTTTACAATGTAAAAATTCCCTTTGAAAAATCCTGTTTTCCTGATAGCAGCTGTTGGACAGCAGAAGGAACTGGCTCTGGTTTCTGCTGTGGCTTTGCGTAGGTTAAGCTTAGGGGGAGGGCTGGACTCTGTCCTCTGGCCACCCCTCCACTCCTGCCTACAACATTCAACAATATTTCTGTCCTTATTGCCAGAGACAATACTTGGAAACTTTACTTGAGTCCCTGACCCATGGGGGGGGCATGGATTAACTGAGGAGCAGGAAAGATGGGAAATGAACTCAGAAATAGACCCCATTAAAATGTGTAAAATACAGGCACTACAAACTTGGCTCACTACACCCAGACAGTTCTAGAAACGTGAACCAGTTCTATGGTACAACCTGGCTGTGCTGGTCATAACCTGTAACACTGACCATCCCAGCAGCACCTGGCTCCCCACATGTTGGGAGGGAAACTTCACACCTTACTGATTATTACTTTAAGCCTGTAAGTTTAGGGTAGTTTGGAGAGAAACACAGATTAAAGGGGTAAAGAATAGGCCAGTTGTATAGAAAGGTGAAAGCCATGAGATTAGTTGAATTCTAATAGTTCCAGGGGTGAAATGTAGCCTATTAATCCCCACTGGAGGGTCTAGTTGTGTTAATAAGAGGTGCCTTTAAACATCTGCATTAACTACCACTCCTGCTGCTTCAACCTTTTAGTCTCCTTTGGCATAAAACCACAATGGCAGCTGGGATGGGAGGATTATTCATTCCTTTGGCTGAAATAGGTGGAATGAAAGAAATGACTTGTGCTAGGTGTTGAAAGACCTCAGTTGTAGCCCAAGTTCTGGTCTACCGTGAACAACACTCAAGCCTCCTAAAGCCTGTGACCACCTGGCCTCCTCTGTGATCTGGACCAGCACTTGCAAATTCACAGCAAGCATTTACCTTTGGGGTTTTGGAACAAGATATTAGAATTCTCAGAAATTCCCCAAACTCATTCTTAAGGTACTTTATTCCTTATACTTCATCATTATAGATATCTGAAAATATTTTAATAAAAAAGATATATTAAGATTAGTAGTATTTACTGCAGAGAAAATTTAAAAGACTAGAAAATACCAAGAAACATCTACTGGATGTATTCAAATAGTAATGTGGTATTTGAATATCCTACAACGGCTAACAGCTCATAAAACCAACCTGGTGTCCAAATTGCCACCTTAAGAATTTATTCTGCGCCAGGCGTGGTGGTGCACACCTGTAATCCCAGCACTCGGGAGGCTGAGGCAGGAGGATCACTGAGTTCGAGACCAGCCTGGGCTACCTAGTGAGCTCCAGGTCAGTCTCAACTACACAGTGAGACCCTGTCTCAAAAAACAAATAAAACAAAACCAAAAAAGAATTTATTTTGCTTCCAAAGTTTATTCCTTGGAATACCACTCACAGGATCTATATAAAGTATATTATGTGGCATATAAAATTATCTACACAGATAGCAGCAGACAGGGCCAGATGCATACACTTTTGACATGGCAACAACCTAAAGCAGATCTAATTAGATGGCGATCATCTCTCTTAAGTGCTCCTGTCTAGTTTTCTAACTCAGCATGTTAAGTGTTTTGTGCTCTTATTTTTAGCTTGGTGAAGGTGATTTGTTTTTTCAAACTGGTAATGTTTCTATACTAATAAGCTTTAGTACTCACAGAATAATTATGATACTTTTCTTCATTTCCTCAACTGATTTTTCTAGAGCTTCTGAATTAAAAACATACATTTCCTAAGAAATACTAGAAAGGGACTTTCACATGGAGGTAATGGTTGCGGATCCAACTCTGGCTTCTGCAGTGTCATTCTGGAAAGGCAGTGTGGGATTGTGACCATACTGTGTAGACTGGAGTTACACAGATACTGGAGGTCACTGAACTCCTCTAAATCTATTGCTTCATCTGTGAAAAGGATAGGAGTGAATGATGCAATATATGTGTAAGTGCTAGGCCAACTGACATACATTACAGAGAGGTGTTTCAAAAATGAATAACTCTTTTCCTTTAGAGCTGACTATAGCAGGTTCTCTGGGTCTGTTGGGACTTTATCTTATTTGAATCAAAGGGAGTAAGAACACCAGGTTTAAAATCAGAGATTCGGGTTCTTCTTCTAGTTCTGCTTCTTATCTGAAGTGTCTTATGCTTTCTGTTCTCAGATTTCACCTGCAAAAGGAGGAGGTTGAACAAGGATAACTTCTAAGATCTTAGAAGCTAGGACAGTGCCTTGCTGACAGAACTGGTATTTAGCAAATGTCCTTCTCCTCTCCCATTTTCCATAACAGTCAATTCTGACTTACGCAAATACAGACCACCCAAAAAGTTTGCAAACAACACAGCACTGAAAATAAACCAATAAAGGCCACAGACAGAAAAATCTCCTTTGGAATTAGTCCCCCTTCAATGCAGTTCAAGGAAAGAAGTTAGGTTTCACCAATTCCACAACTTAAACCATGTACCGTAAAAGAAAGATTTCAACACCTAAATCCTTCAAACATTTGAGGAAGATACTTGCCAAATTCTGTACAACTGATCATTCCCTGACCTCGAGCAGGTCACGACCTAGCAATACAAGGCCACTGTAATGCACAAAGATAAAAGGAACACCAGGGCAGGGCTGGGGATTTAGCTCAGCGGTTCGGTGGCCTGCCTCGCAAGCGCAAGGACCTCAGTTCGATCCCCAGTACCACACACACACACACACACACACACACACACACAAAGGAACACCAGGGCAGAAGACAGTCCTAGCTGGTGAGCCAAGCCTTCCACAGAAGCAGCCACATGTCACAAGCATTCAGGTAGAAGTGTACTCCAGGTAGAGGGGATGACATGAACACTGGAGTAATGTCACACAATCCATGGGAGCCATTTGTCTGAGGGAGACGATGAGAGAGGTGAGCTGAGGCAAGGTTCTGAAAGGACTTGAAAACTAGACCTACAAATTGGACTTTATCCTAAAAGCAATTCAGGCAATCAATAACAAACTGTAATGCATTTTAAGTAGTGTTTATTTTATACAAGATTTGCATATGTGTCAGAAATTGATGTTAGAAAAAGCAAGTGACATCACCACTAGATTCTCTTATTACTTTCCCCAGGCAGCCCCCCAAATCCCCACTGGCATCCTCTGGACACTTGGAAGGGCCTCAGCCTACAACTCCTACAAGGTCCTCACAGATGGGTCCTTGGACATCTCCCCCATTTCATATCCGGGAGTACTAAGGTGGGAGAAGCACAGCAGGTGTCAGAACTTCACTCACACACCTTCTCCTGTAGGAGAACAGCATACCACAGCTGCCTGTGGTTCCCAACGCTAATGGCTGTGGTCCCCACAAAATGGAGTTACTCTGACAGGTCCATGGGCAAGGCCTGGGTTAAATTTCTCTTCTCACTGCTAGGACTCAGCATTCCCTGCCTTCCCTATGCTCTTCCACCTGGAGGCGACACAGCACAAGCAGCCATGAAAGTACCATGTGTAACAACATGTCATGGCCTTTCTGGACATCTATAAGTTGTTTTCTTTAATAATTGATAAAACGACTTGGTCAAGATGTATGATCTTCCTCTGGGTTCTTTCTGCCCAACCTTCTCTTCCAGCCTCAGGAGCCATGGACCTTCAGCCTGCACAGGTTGATTGCTCCTTTGTGCCAACAGTAACACAAAATCCAGAGATTCTGGGAGGCAGAAGGAAACTCACAGAATCTACATCTCCCCTGAGCAAGGCACCAGAACTTGATGTCTATTACATTCAGACTAAGAAGAAGACAAGACTTTCTGCCAACCCATGAGGCCATGTTTAAGCCCTAATCCTCAGTGCCACCTCCTCAAGACTCCAGAGCAACAAAAGCCTCTTTAGGAAAATAATCCTGCTGATCTCTGAAATTCCACTGTTACAATTCATCCTGAACACAGCACCTGCCAGTCCTCTGAGAAGGAGGCATTCAACCATATACTTCCAAGTGAACAAGGTCACTGGATCTATTCCTCCCCATAAGAAGCAGGGGAGCAGTTACCCCTCAGGCATTTGAGATAGGCTCGGCGACTAAAGATGACAAACTTCATCCTCACTGCCACCTCTTCATCCGTACACACAACCACCCTTGCCCTCCCACCTCTGGCCACCTTGAAACAGTAACACAAAATCCAGAGATTCTGGAAGGCAGAAGGAAACTCACTCTTCCCAGAGTGCAGCCGATGGAAGGTAGTGGCAGTCAACAAGATGCACAAGAAGATTCCCCCACTCAGTTCTCCTCCATGGCCTCTTCAAGCCACTTTAAATAGTGCACATCTCCTTGATCCATGGATAGACTGAAGACCTCTGGGATTTCAAAGGGATGCACCAATCTTTGGAAAGAAAGTGACTAGGATTAGAATCCAGATAATAAAACCCAACTGGCCAGCCCCACAGGAAGTCCTCTAATCTGCTATAGCCCAACCCGCCAGCACCATGGTCTGAGATTCCTGAGCCTGTTTCCCATCTGACAGCAGGTGGTGGGTTGGGGCATAGCGTTATGAGTCTCACAAGATACAGGTTCACATTCTGAGTCTGCCCTTAGTAGCTGCGTGGCTATGGACAAATCACTTACTTTCTCTAAAGGTCCCTACAAAAGGTGGGATAAAAACAGTACCTACGTGGATAAAAACTAAACAAGGTAGGCCAAGAACTTACCTAGTACCTGACTGGCACTCCGTCACTCATCAGCATTTAGCTCCTGTTTTCAGCACTACCTCATCCACATCGCTGTGCCTTCCCAGTGCTTCCACTGTTTCTCTCTACCCAGAAAGTTCTCCTTGCTCCTGTTCATCAGTCCAAAGCCTCCGTCTTCCTCAAAGCCCAACTGCACTGCACCACTGACTTTTTCCAAAGGGTCTTCACTGCCCCCGGGCTCACAGTAATCTCTCTTCACTATTTCACCCTTCTCCTTTTACTATCACCTGGGACTTGTCACAAATGGTAAGTTCTCATTGTTCTCCAGACTAAGGAAACATGAGGATGTGGGCTTCAGCAAAATTACAACATTAATTTATCATTTATCTTTTTACTATGTTGATGTTTGCCTGATGGTGCATTAGAAATGATGGGTAAAATTACTGGTACCTTAGTATGAGTCAAGATGGGGCACCAAACTGTACTCTGTCACTGTATTCTATACCACCACATGCTTACATTTTTAAAAAGTCAGTTTCATTTAACATCTTTAAAGTAGTAAAGATTATTACTTTTATTAAATTTCAGCCTTTCACTATGTGTCTTTGTAATAGTCTAAGAGGAAAGATGGGAAGTACACATAAAGCCCTTCTGCTGTATATCTAAATTCAAAATTTAGCTGGGTTTGGTGGCACAGGCCTGACTCGGAGTTTGGTGACTCAGAGCCTGAGGCAGGAGAACCACTGCAAGTTTGAGGCCAGCCTGGGGTACATAGTTCAAGGCCAGTCTGGACTATGTAGGCAAAACCTTGTCTCAAAAAAAAAAAAAAAAAAAAAAGTTGTCACAGGCTGGTATGTCTGAGTCACAGGCTAACCTAGACAACTTTTGTTGGGATAACATTTTAACTCTGAAGCCCAAGTTACCATAATTTGTCAGTTTTACAAATTATGGTAATTCTAGTTTGAGTATGGAGAAGCCATTTTCTAAATTAGGGACAAAGCCCATGATTCAAAAGAAGAAGACTGTTTACATCATTTATTGCCATTGATGTTTTGAAGCGAAAAATTCAAATTTTAGAAAATTTGAATTTATGAGAAGCATAAAATTGTCACAAGATGGTTCTGAAGAGATCCAGATGTCTTATTAAGCGAGATTTTGAAAAAGATATAAAATGATGTCATTTTCCTCACTAATTTCTTTTTTGTTTTTAAAAAATATTACTTTCTATTAAAAAAAATACAAGTTTGGGGCTAGAAGTATAATTCAGTGGTAGTGTATTTGCCTACCATATACGAGACCCTGAGTTCAATCCTCAACACCATACACACACAGAGGAAAAAGGACTTGTTCGGAGTTGGTGGCTCAATTCCAGCTCTGCTGCTTCTCAACGCATTCACTTGGTGCTGAGGACATCCCTGGCTAGTCTTGGAGTGAGTGAGTAACAGAAGATGCCAGCCTTACCTGATATAGCTGGAGAGCATGGGGACCTTGGAAGTCTTAGTTTTTATTAACTGTAAAAAAAACAAGAAAGAAAGAAAATATCACTGCTCTAGGACTGGAGCCCCAGCTCTACCCCTGCTCACTCATCTGGCCATTTAGGAGACAGTACTCCTCCCAGGTCACCAGGCAGGTCACAAGCTCCCAAATCAGCCTTGGACATCTTAGGAAGGCAAGGCTTCAATCATTTGCTCTTCACTAATTTTTAATTAGAACCTGGGAAAAGGCCTTTGTCTCACTCATTCCCCTATCAAGACTTTCTCTGCCCCATCCTCACTCACCAACATGATCTCAGTGGCTTCTTCTATTTCTCCCTTCCAAAAATACCTGAAGAACAGAACAAGACCAAATTATAATGCTCACAAGAGGAGCCCAGTGAAATGTCAAGCTTGGTCCAAGTAGATGACTTACTGAGGAGGAAACTTTAAAATCTGCCCAAGCCCACATACTGAAGCCTGGAGTTCTCCAACACCACATAGTTCATCTAGCCTAACCATTCTTACAAATCTAACATTGCCAGAACATTCCTGGAGTTGAGAAGTTCTCCATTTCCTGAAGAAGTCCAACTAACTTGAAGGTTTTAACATAGGATATTTTCTCTCTCTCTTTCGCTCCCCCTCTTACTCCCTTCCTTTTTCCCTTTCCCTTTCCCTTCTCCTTCCCCGTCCCCTTCAGTGCTGACGGTTGAACCCAGGGCCTTGCACATGCTAGGCTAGTGCTCTACTACTGAGCTACAGTTTTTGTTTTTTTTCTTATCGAGTGCCAACATCTGCTACCTAGTTGTTTCCCTGAATGGCTACAAGAGCCACCCTAGGACGGCCCTGAAGAAACTCTCAGGTCTTCACTCTTCCGCTTTCCCTGCTCATCCTACTCATGGCTTCTGAGCTCCTCCCCACCCTCTGGACTAGCACTACTTTGATCACTGACTCTTAAAGCTAAGTGTTCATGAATGGATAAATTAAAAAACTCAGAAGGCTTCAGGGTAGAAGTAAGCCTTATATGGAAAGTTTCAGAAGTTAAAAATAAAGTCATTACATTTTAGAAAAGAGTATAAGAATAACATCATGGGAAAAAGAGATTTAGCCTGAGACAATCTACACTGACCCAGGACAAACCTAAAATTACTGGCCAGTGGTGGCAAACTTAAGGCGTACATGGTACAGCAGGCTGTTTGTATCGCTGAAAGCTCTAAAAGGTTCACCATCAATGACCTAGGCCATGGGCCCTGCAGTGTCACAGAGCTATGGTAGAAGAATCATTTATGGGGCCAGGAATTTGGCTGAGTGGTTCTGCCACCTGCCTCACAAGAGCAAGGTTCCAAGTTCAATCCCCAGTACCCCCCCCCAAATAATCACTTATGAGCAAGGATGTACGCATGAAGGGAATGCTAGGCTGATATTAGTTACCAAACACTGGTACCTTCCACTGACTACATCCCTAGATCCTGTACTTTTCAAAGATTCAGAGATTCCCTGGGCTGGGAACGTAGTTCAGTGGTACAGCACTTGGCTAGCATACTCAAGGACTTGGGTTTGATCCACAGTCCTGCAAAAACATTCAGAGAACTGGGGCCCATGCTTAGGTAGACTGATTAAATCAAGGCTGGAGCTCAGGAGTGGAAATTACAGCCAAATTTGGAAGCCAATGCTACAGATATGTGAACAGTTCAAGGAATTACATCACTTTTCTCTTCCTTTCTCTATATACAGCATATTTTTGCCTTTCTTGGGTAAAATAAACTGAATGGCCACCTCTGAATATAAATCAACTTTGAACTACTGATTAAATGCCTCTGAATTATTCTTTGATGATTCTCCCATTAGTTCAGTGCTCTTCCCAACCCTAAAATTCCCAACTGCCTCCCTCAGCCAGCTGTGGCAAAACTCACAGTGAAGAAGCCTTAGGCAGGATGTTCACAGAGGCAGCCAGCTTCTTCTCCAGTACTACCCTAGAAAAAAGGGCAAGGGAGGTGGTCACTAGAAGTAAGGGTCCTAAGAGAAGGAAAGAGGAACAGGGTTGCTGTGAATTAACCCTGGAAATTTGAGTCTAAGTAGACAATTACTTAGGGTCTCTGTGATGCTAAGATTTGGGTATGTCCCCCAGAATTCACTGTTAGTGCTGACAGTCAAATGTTAATGGTATTTGTAGGTGGGGCTTTTGGGAATTAGTGGAGAGGAAACATAGGGTCAAAGCTGAGTCCTCACTAAGGCCAGTGACTATCAGGGTCATTGGGTTGCCTGCAACTGAGAGCCAGGACTGTGGAGCTACTCTCATGTGACACCAACCAGAGTGAGCTGAACCTGGTCTGAAGCCAGCAATGCTGTGGGGCCTGGCAGCCCCAGGCCCTGGGAACCTTGGGTCCCACTGTATCCAGGTAGGAAGACATGGAATCAAGGAAGATTATTTTGGCACCTTCAGACTTACTATTGTTCATCCTATTGGGTTTTGGACTTACAATTACAAGCCACCACTGACTCCTATTTCTTGTTTATTTTTCACTATTGTACTTAAGAAGTAGGTGACTTGTCTGATTTCACAGATTCCTGGATAGAGCAAATTTACTTCAGGAATGTTTAGTCTCACTCAAATCTGACTCAGAAGGACAGTGGACTTTGTATTTCTGAGTTGGTGCTAGAACCAGTTAAAATTCTGGGCCTATTGGGATGAAAGGGTTGTACTTTGTGTGAGAAGATAGTGAACATTGGCAGCCACAGGCAGAATGCTATGGATTGAGTACACCCCAGAATTCACAGAATTCATGTGTTGGAAATGTAATCCTCTAGATCATGAAGGTGGCCTAAAATGGCATTAGAGTGTGTGTGTGTGTGTGTGTGTGTGTGTGTGTGTGTGTGTGTGTGTTACTGAGAATTGAAGCCAGGGTCTTTGCAATGTTTGTGTGTGTGTGTGTGTGTGTGTGTGTGTGTGTGTGTGTGTGTGTGTGTTACTGAGAATTGAAGCCAGGGTCTTTGCAATGAGCTACATCCTAGCCCATTTATTATTATTTTTTAAGACAAAATTTTGTTAAGTTGCTAAATTGCTTAGACTGGACTTGAATTTACAATCCTCCTGCATCAGCTTCCCACAGTGCTAGGTTACAGACATGTGCCACCACAGCTCGCTGCATTAGTGGCTTTAGAAGAAAAGGAAGAGAGATCAAGCAAGCATGCTTGCTACATGATGTCCTCTGCTATGTTATGATGCAGGAGGAAGGCACCAGATTCCAATACCATGCTTTTAGAGTCCTTAGTGTTATAGCTTGTGTCTGGATGTCCCCTCAAAGACTCATGCAGTCATAGGGGGCTTCTCAGAGTTGGCTGGATCTAGAGTGTGTGGGCTGGGATCAAGGGTGTGTGATAACTACATCAGTCTACATCAGTTTGGCATAGTTCTGGCTAGGATTAAGGGTGTTGAGTGATATACCCGCCCTACACCCAGGTGGGTAGCCTACATAAAATATAAGGGACTGAAAGAGAGCTAATGTGCTCTCGCCTGCCTGCTGGCCATGGACTATTTCTCTCCTTTGAAGCCCCTCTGCTATCCTACCCTGCCTTGGAGCCAGCTGACTATAGACTGAAACCTCTACAAACTGTGAGCCGAATAACACAGTTCCTCCTTTAACTCTGGGTGTCGGCAACCAGAAAAGTAACTAAGATATAACCTCTGGATCTGTAAATAAACCTTTATTATTTACAAAGGACTCGGTTTGCGGCATTTGGTTAGAGCAACTCAGAACAGACTGAGACATCACCTCATCACCTCTGCTCCTCAAACTAGCACTATAACCACCATACACAGAACCTCTGAATACAGAGCTACTGCTAAGTTCTTTTCTGGGTGTGAAGTAGAGAAGCAGCTATGGTTAGGCAGTTTTAAGGACAGACCCACTCTGTTTGGGATACAGGAATAATGAACACTGGACCTAAAGAAGACTTGGGTTCCACTCCCAGCCCACAATAGAATGGCTGTGTGACCCTAGGCAAGTTCTTTCTCTCCTTCTTGAAATAAGTATTGAGGATATTCTAAGAGGCACTGCCCCATCTCAATCAATCCTGCACTACTAGAGAACAGGTTTAGTCAGTGGTTTCCAAACCTTCTCACCACCAAGAACTCCTTTGATTATACCACCTCCACCTTTAACTCTTAGATGTAACTGGCTGACAACACTTCGGATCTGCAGACATCCAGGTGACCACTGATAGCTGATAGAACTCTATGCAAAAGCAAAACAAGATCATACTCTGTTTGTTTTGACAAACATGGGATCTTTTCACCTTTCATTTTTCTAAAGGTTTCTAACTCAGCCTAAAGAGCAGAATTACTTTCTCTGCAGATCTCTAAAAAATTTTTTCAGTAATACACCACAGGTTAAAATCCCTGGCCAGATAACCTTTAGAGCACCAACCAGCTTTCAGTTTCATAGCCAAAAAGCCTTGTCTCTATTCTCTGAAGTCTTAGGCCCAGCCAAACAAATCTTATCTGAGGCCTGGTCACTAATCCCTCCTTCCCTCAGCTGTTGCCAAGAGAACTGACCTCTTTTTTCATCCCTTGAGTCCCAGGCTAAAGAGTATTCTATTTAAGGACCCATATTAATGTGACATTATCACCATCACTGCTCCTTTGGAAAATTGCCAACTGTAAGAAGAGACACATGGCACAAACTTTTCAAAGCAACTGCTGTGAGTACTGCTCAATCACCCACTGAGAAATTACATTCTATTGGTTCCCAAGGTGGCATGCAAAGACAGGGAGCAAGTTATACAACTAGAAAAACTAACCCCATTGCCTCACAAGCCCTTTCCAATCTCTTAGGAATGTAATCTCCTCAGTGACTAAACATGGCAACTGTTTTCAGGGAAAAGATTACAGAATTCAGGGGGATTATTACACAAAAAGCCCCTAAGGCCTTAAAAAGGAAAGATGGGGGCAGGCCTACTGAATTCACTTTTAAAACAGGCACACAACCACTCAGGACCAGCAATGAGTCACACACAGAGGGCTCAGGCTCAGAGCTGCTAAGGCCCCTAGAAACTGCAGCAGTCCCAGGCCAGTGTGCCTCACAGACCAGATTCATGGTTTGACCCTCGTGGCAGTTCAAAAAGTCGACTTTGTCACCAATATTTAATATCAGGCTATTCCATACTCAAAAAATACAGATTGTCTAGTTTCTTGCAAAATCATGAATCTACAACAATCAGCCTGAAGTCCCACTAGTTCACATTTAGCGAAGCTAGTGCTGAGCAGCAGCTACACCCTCTAGCAGGAAATACGCTTCTCAGGTTAACACAGTTTCCACTGCTCCTTTCTCCTAATACTTCAGAAGTTCGAGAGTTAGCATCTCCACCATCCTTCACTGTTACACCCCAGCTCACTTTACTCTGAAGTTACAGGCATTTGTGACCGTGACCCTAGATTGATCTTAGTCTACCATCAACTTCAAGAATACTAAATTGTAAAGCAAAAAGAAGGAAAAAGTCAAACCTACTATCTTCTAGCTCCACTAATCTTCTTCAAATCTACATCTTTATAACCAGACATGGCGGGGCACACACAGCACTCAGGAGGCTGAGGCAGAAGGATCACTGTGAGTTTGAGGCCAGCCTGAACTACACAGTGAAACCCTGTCTCAGACAAACAAATAGCCCCCCAAAAAGTTACATCTAAACAGAGAAGAGAAATTCAGATACAATCAACATTTATGGCATCTACTACATTCCATTTACTGAGGTATACATTGTATAGAGAAAGTTGGAAGGGGAAGGGAAGGGAAGGAACGGGTAGGGAAGGGAAAGGAGAGGAAGGGAAGGGAAGACAAAGCAAAGCAACCTGCCCAAAGGCCCCTCAAGGTCCACACACAATAAGTGGCACAGCCAAAACTGGCCCAATCCCAAATCAGTACTCTTTCCAGCATAACCATACCTGACTCCAGAAACAACTCATTACTTGGAATGGCCTCCTCCTCATAAAGAGCACATGTGGGATTGAGCAAGAGCTCCAGAAAGGGAGATGGGCCAGCAATTAGGAGACTTAAAATTGTCAACTTGCAGGGTTCTACTGTTCTCTTACTTAACGCCTTGAGCAAGACACTATCTCTGTAGGTCTTACATCCTGCCCTTTAATGCTCCATGCATCAGTCAGCAATTTTCAGGCCTGGCAGAGGGTCATTTGGGGGATCATTCAGCTGAGTTCTTCCTATGCCCTCAAGCAAAGAGCCTGGAGTCCACCCTTGGACAGAGAGGGTCTTCACAAGCAAGGAGCCCCAAAATGGCCCTTCTGGAGCATCCTGGTAGCCCCCAGGACATCTGGGGCAGCGTTTTTGTCCCTGTACTGTACCTGGCAATGTCTCTGGCAATCTGCTCGTTGGGACAGTTGATGAAGACGACGGAGTGAGTACCAGAGATATAGGTGCCGGTGATGGCTGAGTGGAGCTGGAGGCTAAGGGTCTTGAGCAGGGGATATGTCAGAAAAGCAGCTGGCAGGATCTATGTAGTAGAAAAGAAAAGCACAGGTCAACAACTCCCAGATCAAGCAGACTGGAACAAAGGCTGAGACAATCTTTTCACCCCCTCACCCCATCCACAAAATAATCCCTGAGATCTGCACTGAGCTTTAGTGTGTAAGCAAAGTTTTCATGCCTAGATATTTTCCTTTACATTTTTTTAGGTGAGAAACAAAAAATAGAGGTTCACAATTTTTTAAAAATGCTTAAATTCAGAGAGCTTTAACTTCTGAAACCAGGATTTGGACTCGAGTATGGATGACTTCACAACCATTTTCATCCTACAAAATTTCAACTGCTGGTAATACTAACTAGCATCTACTAAACTGCTATCATCCTGTGGAGATTATAATGAGCTCTTACATCTACTGATGTTAGGGAAAGTAATTTCATGTGCATTCATCTGTTTTATCTACCAGCTGCTATGTAGAGCCTAGTGCAAAACATAGGTATGCAAACAGACCAATTCTAAAACAATGCAACCTGTGCCAATGTGATGGAGAATGAGGACAACCAACAAGAGAAGGCTCTAAAGGAGAAAGCAGAAAAAGGCTTTGAAGAGAAGGTTTAATGTATGTCAGAAATAGAGATCTCAGTTGAGTTGGATCTGAAATAATAAGAATTTAACCAGCATTCAGAAGGATCACAAGTTTGAGACCAGCCTGGCTATACAGCAAGATCCTATCTTAAACAGCAACAACAAAAAAAAAGGATGACAAGAAGAGAAAGGGCCACTCTAAGCAAGTGACTACATGTACAAACTCAGGAGGTATGAAGGACAAATAAAATTTCTAAACTATATGGGCCTTGGTGTGTAGATTGAGTATGAAGAGATCAAGAGGAAGTGAGCTGGCTAGAATTAAACAGAAATGGATTAAACCAAGGTATTTGGGGCTTATACTCAGGTGATAGGATGCTTTTAGAAGTTTATAAGTAGGACAGCAATAATATGGTCAAGCCAAGCAAGAGCTACAAAAAGGGCCAGCGACGGGGAGAGACCAGAAAGCAGCTTCTTTAGCCACTTCAATGACCTAGGAAAAAGGCATTCAGATCCTGATCCAAGGCGGCAGTAACCATGTGACAGAAGACATTTTGAGATAAAATTTCTCTTTTTAATGACAAATATTTAAAATAAGAGGAATGAAAAAGACTAAAGCCCTCTTCCATTCTAGCTTTCTCTATTTGGGAGAAATAACGGAGACATTAACAGGTAGAGAACCAACTTGAAAGGAGGCAGGCTGTGACTCAGCCACTATGAACAAGAACTGCTTCTCTTATCTCCCAGCCCAGGGCTCATGCTTCACTGAAATGAACCTCTGTCCTGATGCCTCCTACTTCTTGGCAGGTCCTGAGTACTATGTTTGTCTTTAGCTTCAGTCTGACTACAGGCCTGTGTGGATTAGGTTTCCATTCCCTCCTACTGTCTCCAGCACTGCTTCTGTATCAGTGCTCTCAACTACACCAGTGACCATGCAAGAAGAATCAGGCTTTTTCAAGGAAACTTACTGGTTTTTCTTCTTTTTCTTTTTTTTTTCCCAGCTTTAATTGAGTTTATTGGTACATTTTAGGGATAAAGTACAGTTACATTCATTGTTGGGATCTTGTACCTCTACATGACAAGTCTTGATTCTCATTTTTTCCCCTTACCTCTGCCCTCCCTTCACCCCCTCCTTCCCTCCCCATCTACAAACACTTTATTTTCATCTTTTCATTCTCTCACATTTTTTTCTTTTCCCTTTTTACTCTTCCCCTACCCATCCCACCTTCCCTACACCTTTAGCTCCTTTCTTCCCATTTCTAAATGTCAGTAATCTTAATAGAATCTTATGCATTGTTGCAGATTATTCACACCAGGGAAACTATTCGGTATTTATACATGTGTGACTTATTTATTTCACTTAGGAGTATATCTTCAATATGTATCCATTTTCCTACGAATGAATCTATTTTCTCATTCTTTATGGCTGAGTAATATTCTATTTTATAGAAAAACCACATCTTCTTTATCCAGTTTCCAACGGATGGGAAAATGGGCTGCTTCCAAGATTTAGCTATTACTTTATGTGCCGCTATAAACATGGGTGCACATACTTCTCTGTGATATGATTCTTTTAGTTCTCTTGGAAAGATACCCAGCAGAGGGATGGCTGGGTCAAATGGAACCTCCAGTCCAAGCTCTTTGAGGTATCTCCATATTGATTTCCATAGTGGTTGCACTAGTCTGCACTCCCACCAACAATGGAGAAGGGTTCCTTTCTCCCCACAACCCCGCCAACATTTGTTATTGTGTGATTTCTTGATAGCAGCCATTCTTTGTGGGGTGAGGTGGAATCTCAGTGTTGTTTTCATCTGCATCTCTCGAATGACCAGTGATGTGGAACATTTTTTCAAATATTTTCTTGCTGCTTTTACTTCTTTGTCTGAGAAATGTCTGTTCATTTCAGATGCCCATTTTTGAATTGGGTCTTTATATTTGGGGGGACTGATAAAACAATCAGTCTGTTTTGAGTTCTTTATATATCCTTGATAATAGTCCTTTGTCTGAGGAACAGCTTACTGGTTTTTCTTTAATGACATCTCAATTCAATTACAGGGAAAAAAATAAAAGCCCTAGAGGACGGGATTTAAATCCTTGATGCCAGTACTGCCTGTAGCCTCTTGACAAGTTACTTCCTCTTCCTTCTACAAATTTCATCTAGAAACTGGAAATTATGACAATTGTGCTGCCTAACTCAAAGTTGCCAGGGGTTCAAACAAGAGAGGAAAAGCAATTTGTAAATACTAAGTTAGAAAAGGAGGGGATTGTGCTTTGTCCACTGTGTCCCCAGAAGTTCTTGGCACACAGCAGGTTTTCAATACTTGTAGCCTAGGACTAACGTGAAATGTTGTTACTATGACTACATATCCTTGTGATGTAAGGCTAAGAACTGGACATCCAAGAACACTGTAAGGTATCTACCTACATGACTCCAAGGAGGCTTCCAGCACAACTCTAACTGAAAGAAGCACTCATCACAGGATGGTTGGCCCACAGGCAGAATGAAAATGTAAGGTAACTGAGGGAGGGAAGCAACATACACGCCTGTCCTTAAAAGTTATTCTTAGGGAAGATCTGGAGTGATTCAGCCAGCAGGTATAAAGGAGCCACAGAGCTAATCAGATTAAATATAAACTCACCCAGAACATATTCAAAGTCTTAGTTGATTGAGCTCATAGTCAAACACTAGGAGGTAAATAGGCCCTTGGGTACAACCCAAGACAAGCCTTAATTCAACAGAGGTCACCAAAGCAAGACACACAGAAACCCAGTGACAGAACAAAGTTTTGCCTTCAAGACTCTTCTCGCCTTTCATTTTGGGTTCAATGTACTATAATGGTCATGGGTAAGGACCCTTCTAGCTTCACCTAATCCATTGCTTCTCAATTTAGGGTGACTTTGCCCCCAGGGAACATTTAACAATGTCTAGCAACAATTCAATTGTCATTCATTTCTATATTTTCACCACCTAAGCACCACAGGCAGGAGTATATACTTGAAAAATGGTTATGGTCCACATAAACAAAGTATCATAATCATAAAAGGTTAATTTCTGCCCAACGGTGGAATACAATTTTTTAAAAAGTCATATTGCATGAAGGCAAAATCGATGGAAAATACATCACAATGTATCCTAACAGAAACATTTACTATGAGAAAAAACTTACTACTTTTTAAAAGCCTGTATATTATAAGGCTTATATTTATATCCTTTATACCTTCTCTTATTTATTTTTTACTATATACTTTTTCTAATTACATTCTTATATATTTTATGTATTCTTCAGTTATTTCCTTTTTTGTGGGGGTACACTGCAAATTGAACTCAGGGCCTTTGCACTAAACTATATCCCAGCCTATTTTTTATTTTGAGGCAGGGTCTTGCTAAATCACAACTTGCCCAGGCTGGACTTGAACATGCAGTCCTTCTACCTTAGTCTCCCAGTGTTGGAATTATAAGTATGTGTCACCACATCGGGCTACTCTCAGTTATTTCCTATTTCATCTGGACTTTCTCCATTTTTGGTCTTAGAGCATATACATAACTTTTAGGAAGTTATGGTTGACTTTACAGCCTGCAACAGGCAGAAGGGGCCTCACAAATTACCTAATCCAGTGGCACTAAACTGGTAATCTCTCTAGTTTTAAGGAATCTGCAAATACACTAAAATCAAATGCAACATTTTCCTGGGGCCCAAATTCAGATCTTTCAGAAAAAGAGATTTATAGCCCCCAAATTTAAGAACCACTGATCTGTACCACTTTTCACAGATGATAAAATAATGGCCAGAGAAGAGTAATCATTCCAAAAGTGAGCTTCAGAACTGGGCTAGAGCCTGGACTTCAGACTTTCCTACAACTCTCCCCTAAACCCACCACCATTGGAATTACTTTAATCTCACTTTCAAGATTAACATTTTAAGTTATTTCAGAGATGAGAAACATAGCTCCCAGAAAATTACAGAGAAATTAGATGATTAACTGCCACTGGAATCTATCAGGAATAGCTTAGGTGCGATTTCTACAGCAAACACTCCTTTCCCTCCCCCACTCTAGGAATGCGAGCCCAGTCACCTGTTCCCACAAGGTGGAGTAAAGTTATTCTGGTAACCTTGAGAACCGCCCCACAATCTCCACAGAGTAGTGCCTTCCAAGGATCTTACAGTTCACCTCCCACCTGCCTGCCCCCTGCTCAGAACCCCAAGAGCTGTTAAGAGAAATAAATGTCTTCTTCCCTTCATTCTTTCTCCCTTAGTCCTCAGGTTTAAGGGTGAAGAGGTTCACAGCATGGTTGACTGGGGGCACTCACCACGAGGCATATAAGGACAGAGGGCCGAGGCTGCTGGCCTGGCAGAGGGCACTGTGATCTCAGCCTGCCCATGGCGTTGGAGGTAATTTAGCACTAAGCAGTAGCAGTGAATTATAGCCGTGGGCGGGTGCATAGGACCTTAACCTTCCCCTCGTCTTCCGCAAACTCCCCAGCCCCGCCCTGCTCCAGCCAGGCTGGCCAGACACAGCAGGGACCTGGGTGAAAAAAAAATCTGTTTTCACTGCACACACCCCTCCTTTGAAACTTACAAAACTCAGCTCTAGACTGGCAACTCTTGCAAAAATACGTGCTATTTTCTCTTCCTCTCTAAATGCACACATTTTTAAAAAATCCCCAGAGATGTACAGATAAAGGACAAACTTTGGTTAGAATACAAAATCTTCAGAAACCACAGCACACAAACAGGAACACACCCACCTCTTCTCTAAAGAGGCCCAAGCCACCAACAAAACCATGTGAAGTACACACATGGCTACCTCTCTTATATATTACCCCTTCCTCCCAAGATCTCCCAATTCTCTCTGACTTAGGAACACTTGCTTTCTACTTTTCTGAACTCATTAATCTTTCCAGATCAGCTGCACTGGGTAGGTATCCTTTCCTCAAGGTAACTCAGTCCTCTTCTAAGTCCTCTTCATACATTTAGGCTGAAGCATTCAATACACAGTACATGGAACTGCAAACAAATAAGAAAACTACAAGCCAATGGCTAGCTATTGTCCTCTGAGAATGCAGTGTCTACTTTGCCTGGGCTTCCCCATTTTTTGAAGTGAAATATCCTAATTTCAAAATGACAATAACTCTGCTGCGCATAGTCACACATGCCTGTGATCCCAGCACTTGGAAGGCTCAGGCAGGAAGATCAATAGTTCATGGTCAACCTGGGCAACTTAGCAAGATTTCATCTCAAACAAATAAAAACAACAACAAAATGATGACAATTCTGGACACAGGAAACGAGATTTAGTGCACAGGGATACTAGTAATATAGGTTAAGGGAACTGTTTTATCTTGATTGTTCTGGTGCAGTTAACACAAGTGTAAAAAAAAAAAGTTCAATGAACTGTACATTTAAACAGGTGAATTTTATTTATATACAGTGTCTTAAAGAAAAAAGAGGAAATGTCAGAAACCAATTAGAAATTGTTTCTACTTGAGTGGATAAAACAAAATTGATGGATTTTAACCAAATCTGCATTGCAAATTATCAGTTTAGAGCCTCACTGCCTTTACATAATTACCTGCTCATTTGTTTGTTTCACTCACTCCTTTACACTATAAATTCCTGAAGGCCTTGAGCACTTTGGGGCAAAGTGTCTGACAAAGTAGTTAATCAGCTGAAGTCCTAATCCTGTCCTTTACACTGTTGAGTGTGCAGACTCAGGCACATTTAACCTCTGAATGTTGAAGGTTTTTGATAAAGGGCTGATAGTTCCTCCATAGGTATGAACTCAGGATTAACAGAGATTAATGTTGAGAGTCTTATAACAGGTAAGACATCACCATTTCAAGAGCAAGTAGTATCAACTACCAATTTCTATTTATGACTGAAAATTTTATCATCTATAAAAAAATTAGAGAAAATGAAGCTTAATGGTCCGAAGACCTTTATATTTTAAGCCCACTAAAATAAACCAGAACCATGATCGTTCATACTATTACATTAATAAGTACTGTGTAATGACTATCTACCTCACATGATTTCCTGAGATAATCTTTAGCACAGGACCCTGTGTAGTTTATATTCAATGTTTGCTGAATGAATATTACAATCATGTGTGTTGGTTAATTGTAAGAATGATGGAAGCGATGACAGTGATACTGAGGTAACAAGAGAAGGATGCCAAAAGATGAACTGTTATTTGGAAGATGCAACCTCTGGACTGCCATCCTTCAACTCAGACACCTCTACTCTCTTTAGATTCCATTCTAAGGTGAGACTCAAAAGTCCAATTCTGTATTTATGGCTTTGGCAGTTTCTTCAGATGTATCAAGAGTTTTAGTGCTGCTACCTGAGCATCCAGGCTCTTCTGGAGGCTTTTACTCTCTACCTTCTTATGGGATTCTGATTCAGCCTAAGACTTCCCTCCAGACGCAGATACTTTAGCCATCTCCTTCACCCACATGATTTGTCTTCCTTCACCAACTCCTTTATGTGAAGGGTCTTTTACACCTCTTTATAGCAACTTACTGAAATTTTACTAAAGTAAAATTACCGAAGTCTTTTTGAAAAGACAAACTTTAATCCAGGAAAAAGATCCATAACAATTGCAGCATCATTGAGGTTTGAAGAATGACAGCATTCAATTTCCTGAACTTTTCCTTCACCTCTGATTGTACAAACTGGTCTTCCTCCTCATCTGTGGATATAGACTCTCTCCGTTATTGCCAACAATTCAAACCTCAGTAGCTCATTAATTTTATTTTCCTTGATAGCAACAAATTTATAATCCATTTTGCCGACTTAGGAAACATGCATAATCATTCCTAGTATTCTGCCAGTTTCCACCAAGGTTTATTAATAATGCTTGGTTTTATATCACTCATCACCTCTTTCATTAACAGAACATTAGAATGAGCAAATAATAGTGAGCCTATTAGTGATGGCAAACCTTTTAGAGCTTTCAATGATAATGAACAGCCCACCATGTTTGTGACACTGCCCAGGGGACCTGGCCTTTTGTCCAATTAGCAACACTCTGAATCCAGTATTTTTTTTCCTGCTAAATTAACTTTGGGCTTCATGGTCAATTAAGAAACCAATCCAAGCTGCCTAAAATCCCAATTATTCAGGGGGCTGAGGCTCCCTAGTTGGAGATCAGATTGAGCAACGGAACCATCTCAAAAATTTAAAAGGTGAGGGGGCCACTGGGAATGCAGCTAAGTGACAGATCATCTGCCTAGCATGTGTGAGGGCCTGGGTTGATCTCCAGTACTAAATATATAAAGAAAATAAACTGAAAGTAAATCGAAAAGAGAGGGCAGTGGTTATGAATACTCTGTGCTGTGATCACCAGAATACAGGAAGTTATCTTTTTCCAAGACAAATGGTACTAAGGTCTTCGTAAAACAGCAACGGTTTTATTCTGTCACCTGAAGCACCAGCATAAGAGAGAAGAAAAATTCTATCTTTAGTTTTTGCTACGCTTTTCAAGCTTTTGCCTATTTCCTTAAAATTATGGGAAGGCATACATGTCCAAAACAGACTTAATTGCCTTGACACTGCGAACCGTTCAGGAATATAGCTTCTATCTCTGGTCAGTCTTTCCAACTGCTTGTAATACATGGGTGCCAACTCAACAAAAAAACGGTTCTTCCTGCGCCTGTCAACCTTTTATCCCGCAGTGATTTTTATTCTCACGCGATCCTTTGCTCTCATGAAGCTTATCTAGCTGGCCCTGCCCACTGATTTCGATCAGACACTGAGCTGCGGATAGCATGCTGCAAATGGCCTTTGAGTCAGAGACCATCACCCGCGATGGTCTGTTCCTCCACTCCAAAAGTTAACGCGCTCTCCATCTTCTCCATGTTTACATCACAGGAACGCCCAGCAACTTGGAGCAGATGAGTGAACATTCTCCACGATGGCCAGCGGCCCTCTTGGTTTTTTAAAATCAGGCGTACGGTTGACTGACAAAAGAAGCACCCCAGCTCCGTACTACTCACGCCTTCATCCAGCTTCCCTAGCTCAGTCCGAGTGGTCTCAAGAACGCCGCTCTCCCCGCCGCGCAGATCCCGGTTTGGGGCCCGGAAGGCCGTCGGATCGGCTTTGTGCCTGCCGATGAGTCCTCATCCTCTCCGCTCCGCTTGCTGAACATCTGATGAGGGTTTATCCTCGGTGTCCTTTACGAAGCTGGAAAAACGCCTCTATAACCAACTTCTCAGAGCGCCAAGTAAAGCCACAAAGGGACACCAACCATTAGTGACCTTTGACCCCTCAGAGGCCCCTCTCGCGAGATTTGGAAGCGAGCCCCCCCCCCAAGATCTCGCGAGAAGTTTTCCCCGGAACCTGCTGGGTAGGTGGAGAGAAGCCGGCAAGATGGCGGCTCAGGCGTTCTCCTTGCTGAGACAGGTAGCGCAGCTGGAAGCGCCGCTGGAAGAGCTCCGGGCGCTGCAATCGGTGGTACAGGCTGTACCGCTTAGCGAGCTTCGAGAGCAGGCGGCAGAGTTGCACCTCGGGCCTCTTTTCTACCTGCTAAACGAGAACCATCGGTGAGAGAACCCCCGGGCTTGAGCAGGGGTGAAGGTATCGCCAAGTATGATGACGAGGGTGGGTGGAAGCGAAGGGAATCATTTTCCTAATTTTCTGCCAGACAGAAATTTGACGAAATGGCAGGAAGGGAAGGACCCAGGGCTGAGAGGCAAGAGATGGGATTCAAGCCCAGCCTCTGAGGAGTGACTTGGTCGCCTAGCCTCTCTGACTTACCACGGAGAGAGAAGTGGAGAAAAAAAACCAAGGTTGCCCACCTACAAAAACTATTAGTTCTGGACATTACTCGTCATCAAAAGTAAAACTTTTGATTTAGTAATGTTCAATTAAAACTGCTTTGTATTTGGTAATTTGAGCGTTTAAAGGAATTTCTAAATGTCTGTGATCCATAATTTAAAAGGGCCCTGTTCTGGCAATGTGGCAGGATCCATCAATATTTTAAATTTAACTCACCTTTTAATTTTAGTCATTCCTCTTAGAGGAATTTAAGAATGCAGATACACTCGCATAAAACGTACTCTGTGAGGTTGGGGATTTAGCTCAGCGGTTCGGTGCCCTGCCTTGCAAATACAAGGACCCGAGTTCACTCCCCGGCACCAAAAACAAAAACGTACTCTGTGTACAGGAATGTTCGTAACAGATGATGTGTGGCACCAAAAAAAAGATCCTATAATTATAAGTAAGTTATGTGATATTACTATATGACACTATGCAACTATTTAAAATATTGAGGTAGATGTCGTCGGTACAGGAAGATCTCAACTATGTGTTCGATAAAGAAAATTGCAGAGTTTATGATGCCATTATGTGTAACTTTAAAAAAGAATTGCATCACTCTCCCCACCCACTATCCCTAAGGTTTATATA